TTAATACCTAGGTGATGAGTTGATCTGTGCACCAAACTACCATGCACACACTTACCAATATAACAAACCTGCACATCCTGCATATGTACCCAGAACTTAAAATAAAAGTTGGAGAAAAAAATGAAAGAGATACTACCTTTCATATGTTATACTGTCATTTCTTACTGGATACATTTCTGGGCTCCCTTTGATCAACTGGTCAGTCTTTTTACTCTTATATCACAACCACAGCATTTTAATTATTGAACTTTTGTGATTTGTCATGATATATGGTAGAGCTAGCTCTTCCTCATTGCTCTTTTTTTTTCCAGAATGTTGCTGGCTATTCTTATGTATATTTGGTTTTCCAGATAAGCTTTATAATTGACTTGTCTATTTTTAAAAATCTGTTGGCATATTTATTGTGATCTTATTAAATGTATATATTAATTTAGGAAGATTTGATCTCTCAACATTTTAATCTTCAAATCAAAAAAAAAAAAAAAAACAAATCATTTGCTACTTAGAAGAAAATACCAGGAAAAATATAACACATAAAGAAATGATGGGCAAAATTTTTCAAGCAAATGCAAGGGAGAAGAAGGAAAAAGTGGTAATATTGTTTCATTTTATATTGATCAAATGGATCATCCATAATGAATACAAACAGATATCAACTTTTATGCAATTACTAATATCATATCTCTCTATATAAGGCAAAATTCATTGGGAACATAAGGAATAAACAGAAATAATTGTTGGAGACTTTTAGGAGCACTATTTCATTCTTCCATGTACCAAGTAGACAACCAGTAAAATGCAAAATTCATTTTTTAGTCATTAAAAAAATATGACCAAATTAACAGAAACACTTAATTTTATACCTTAGTAAGAAAAAACCTGAATTTTAAATATTCTTAGAAAATCTATAAAAATTGTTCATATAGCAACTGTATTAGTCCATTCTCATGCTGCTATAAAAATACCACCTGCAGCTGGTAATTTATGAAGAAAAAAGGTCTAATTGACTCACGGTTTCACATTGCTGGGAGGCCTCAGGAAACTTGCAATCATGGCGAAAGGCAAAGGAGAAGCAAGTGCCTTCTTCACAAGGCGGCAGGAGAGAGAGAGTGTGAAAGAGTGAGGAAATGCCACACTTAAAACGATCAGCTCTCAGGAAAACTCACTGACCATCATGAGAACAGCAGGGGAAAACCTGCTCCATGATTCAATCACCTCCCACCAGACTCCTCCGTTGACATGTGGGGATTACAATTCGAGATGAGATTTGGGTGTGCACACAGAGCCAAACCTTATCAGCAACCAATATGCTTAAAAAGCTAAAATTTCTAGGTCTTTTTTCTGAACACAGTAAAACTAAAGCCTAACAGAATGCTCTAGAGAAACCAAAAATCTAGCTACATCGAAACAAAAAGATAGGTTCTTTGTAAAATCAAAAAACAGGCAAACCTCTGACAAATCAAAAAATATCAGACAGAATATTAATATATCAAGATACAATATAAAATAAAATAAAACAGTAGCTAAAGAAGTGACTTTTAAAAAAAAAATAACATTATAAGGGATTATTATGGGAATCTCTGTTCTTATATGTGAAAATTTCAAGAAAGGATAATTCTCTGGGACAATGTAAATTACCAAAACTGACTCAAAGTTTAAGTTAAAAAAACCTAATAATAATGAAAAAAATTAAAGTTATGAAAACCTACCCCCTAAAGAAAGACTGAACCAACCATTAAGAGTATAGTGTAAATGTTAATAAGACAATGTAGCATGACTATAAAATAGACAAATGAAATAAAATGAAGACTCCAGAAATCAATCTCCTGCATTTAAAAAAATATGGTATATTACTGAGTCAGGATTGCAAATCATCAAGGAAAGAATGGATTAGAACAATTGGTTATTCACATGAAAAATACATATCCTTATCTTGTATCATAAACAATTATAATATGCAGTTTATGGATGAATTAAAGATATAAATGTGAAAAGCAAAACATTAAAACAGTTGGCAAAAAATTAGGCAAATAACTTCACAAACATAGAGTAGGAAAGTCTTCCTAAATAAGACCTAAAAGCACAAAGTATAAGTGAAACCACTGATAATTTTAATTATATTAAGTTTGAGACTTTCTGTTTATCTAGAGAGTAAAAAGATCTGACACACATATTTGTCTCAGTACATAGCAATAAATTAAATTTAGAATATCCTACAAAGTAACGAGAAAAAGCAACTAACCAAATAAAAAATGGACAAAGTATATGAATAGCAAGTTATTCAGAGATGAGAAAACCCAAGTGCCAAATGAATTTATGGAGAGATGTTTAATGTCACTAGTACTAGAAGATGCAAATTAAAACAACGAGAAATTATTTTAAATAGCCATCAGATTGACGAAACTTGAGAAATCTAACAGCACCAAGCATTGATGGGAATGTGGAGAAATGGAAACTCTTGCATTCGGCTGGTAAGAATCAAATTGTTACAATCACCTTGGAGAGCAATTAGAATAGCTAATAAACCTAAGGATGCTCATATCCAACTAAGCAGTTCCACTTTGAGGCACGTGTCTTAGAATATTGTTTGGCAAACTGGTGTCATGATCTGTTAAAAAGTCATGAACTAGATTTGGAGAGTAAAAGCCAGTATTAAGTAGAACAGAATGGAAATTGTCAGATTGTATCATTTATAAGGATAAATATTATTTTATAAAACTTTTGCTTATATGTGCCTTGCATTGTGTTATAAAATGTCTTGTGATTATTAGTTGAAGTTTTAAAATTTTTTGAAAGCCACTGCCCAAAGAAACTTAGATAGGATGTTTAAAGGAACATGTACAAGGGTGGTTTTTTGTTTTGTTTTGTTTTGTTTTGGGTTTTGTGTGTCTGTGTGTGGTGTTTTCGTTTGTTTGTTTGTTTGTTTTGAGAGGGTCTTGCTCTGTTGCCCAGGCTGGAGTGCAGCACAGTGATCTCAGCTCACTGAAGCCTTGACCTCCAAGGCTCAGGTGATCCTCCCACCTTAGCCCCCTGAGTATTTGTAGAGATGGGTTTCCCTATGTTGCCCAGTCTAGTCTCGAACTCCTGGGCTCAAGCAATCCTCCTGCATTGGTCTCCCAGTAGTGCCGGGATTACAGGTGTGAGCCACTATGCTGGGCCAATGGTGTTTATTGAAACATTGTTGTAATTGCAGAAAAAAAGGAGAAACAATAAAAGCCCATCAAATAGGACATTATATTATAGGACAATATCTCTAGCAAGATACCACTTATGTGAAATTTTAAAACAGGTAAAACAACACTGTATATTTATATATATATGTATCTTATGTATTAAACGTTTTTAAACTTGGAGGAAATAATATACTTGGGGTCAGACAATGGTTATCTCTGGGGAAGGAGGAAGAGGAATGGGGTCATGGAAGAATTTAGAACATTCAGCTATCTATAATGTCTTATTTCATTTTTTAAATATTTGAAAGAAAAACAAAGAAAAAAATCAAACAAATTCAAACTCCTCACCAAACAAGGCAGACATTTAAAAGCTGGATTTATTGATGAGTTATTTTAATCTTGTAAGCAAAAAGTAATAATTCCCATGGGTATAATAAATTGCTCCAGAACACAGGAAAAAGGTGCAAAGTTATCTAGTGCATCGGTCAGCTATTACCACAATACTACTACATAACAAGCCACCTCCAAACTACATGGTTTAAAATGACAAGCCTTTATCCTTGCTCACATGCCTTAGGTCATCTGGGCATTGGCTAGTCTCATCTTGGCTTGGCTGGACTTGGGTCCAAGCCGAAGGTAGGATCCAGGTGTACTCCATGTTTATCTCATCTTTTGGACCAGTCAACTAGCTGGGGTACGTTCTTCTCATAGTGATGGCAGAATTTCTGGAAGGCAATCACACTGCTCAAGCACATTTTAAGCGTCTGCTCTTTTTTTTTTTTTTTT